TTTTTTTTTTTTTTAAAAAAAAGGGGAGTGGAGGGAGAGAAAACAAAACCTCATCTGAGCATGACTCTTGGCAGGAGTGTTTTTACCAGCACCTCTGCAGCAGTTCTCAGAGAAAGCCTGCCATACTGGGACAGTTGGATGGAGCGGAAGACTGGCCTGAAACGGCCCACATCAAGCTGGGCTGGGATGCCCCAGGGGATAGGGGAAGCCGCAAGGCCTCTTCAATAATTGGTTTGGAGACAATTGGCCATACATATGGAAAAGATAAAGTAGATGTCTATCTCACAGCAGGCCTCCAAATAAATTCCAGATGAACTAAAGACCTATAGGAACAAGCACTACTATTACAGAGCTTTTAGAGGAAAACCTAAAAAGCTGCATGACACTGTGGTAAGGGGAAGTTTCTCTAACAAGGTACAAAACGTGAAAGGCACAAAGGAAAAGATGGATAACTTAACATTAAAATTAGCTGGGCATGGGGCTTATGCCTGTAATCCCAGCACTTTGGGAGGTGGAGGCGAGAGGATTGCCTGAGCCCAGGAGTTTGAGACCAGCCCGGGCAAACTGGTGAGACCTCATCTCTACAATAAATCAAAAAATTAGCTGGGCATGGTGACATGCACCTGTAGTCCCAGCTATTTGGAAGGCTGAGGCAGAAGGATTGCGTGAGCCCAGCAGGTCGAGGTTGTGGTGGCCGTGAGTGTGCCACTGCTCTACAGCCTGGGCAACAAGAATGAGACTAAGACTCTAAAAACAAAACAAAACAAACAAAAACCCAAACCAAAACATTATAATTAAAATCCTCTTTAAAAGACACCATATGCAAAGTGTAAAGTCCAGGTGAAGTGAGATGATTAGCCTGTAGTTCTGGCTCCTTGGAAGGCTGAGGCAGAAGAATCGTCAGAACCCAGCAGGTCGACGCTGGGGTGACCATGCATGTGCCACTGCACTCCAGCCTGGGTGACAGAGTGAGACTCCAACTAAAAAAAAAAAAAAAAAATAGAGTCAAAGTCTTGCTCTGTTGCCCAGGCTACATTGGAGTTTTGTGATCATAACTCTGCAGCCAGGAGAAAAGATGCCCTGTAGAAAGATTTTTCTTCATGTTCACAAGCAGACAAATCCAATGCAGTGGGGAGTAATTGGTAACAATCTAACCATACCCACATGGAAATAAGCTGGAAACCAATGAAATACTCATTCTATAAACCAGTTAAAAGGAATGAAGTAGCTGGGCTCGGTGGCTCATGCCTGTAATCCTAGTCCCTTGGAAGGTGGAAACAAGAGGATTGCCTGAACTCAGGGGTTCAACACCAGCCTGGCAAGACCTTGTCTTTACAATAAATAAAAAAAAAAATTAGCCGGGTGTGGTGGTGCATACTGTGGTTTCAGCTACTTGGAAAGCTGAGGCAGAAGGATCACCTGAGCCTAGCAGGTCAAGGCTGTGGTGGCAGTGAACATGCCACTGCACTCCAGCCTGGGTGACAGAGTGAGACTCCAACTTCAAAAAAAAAAAAAAGGAATGAAGTAAATCTACATCTATCGACATGGTCAAATCACAAAAACCTTATGTGATTGCAAAAGGATACTACATTCTTATAACATTTACATAACATTTTTATTTATTTATTTATTTTGTTCTTTAAAAAAATAGAGACAAGGTCTCACCATGTTGCCCAGGCTGGTTTCGACTCCTGGGCTCAAGCAATCCTCTCACTTCAGCCTTCCGAAGTGTTGGGATGATAGACATGATTACAGTAGGATTACACCCTGCTCAGCCCATTTGCATAAAACTCAAAAACTGGCACACCTGTAGTTCCAGCTACTTGGAAGGCTGAGGAGGAAGGATCACCTGAGTCCAGCAGGTTGAGGTTGCAACCTGGAGTGCCATCGCACTCCAGTCTGGGTGACAGAGTGAGATTCCTACTAAATAAATAAATAAATAATAAAACTTAAAATACAAAAATATGTAGTAAAAATACAAAATCATGCTTGTATGTCTAACTTTTTCCATAATATAAAGTAAACTAGATCTTCACTGAGAGGCAATTGGATTTTTGTTTTTGCTTTTGTTTTTGAGTTGGAGTCTCACTCTGTCACCCAGGCTGGAGTGCAATGGCCGCTCCTGGCCACCGCAGCCTCGACCTGCTGGGCTCCGGCGATCCTTCCGCCTCAGCCTTCCAAGTAGGCTGGAACTACAGGTGCGCGCTACCACGCCCGGCTAATTTTTGATTTGTTGTAGAGAGGAGGGCTCGTCAAGTTGCCCAGGCGGGTCTCGAACCTGCAGGCTCAGGCAATCCACTCACCTCGGCTTCCCAAAGTGCTGGGATTACAGGCTGAGCCATTGAGCCCAGCGGATTTTTTTTGAGTTGGAATCTCACTCTTGCCCAGGCTGGAGTGCAAAGGCACACTCAAGGCTACTGCAGCCTTGACCTGCTGGGCTCAGGTGATCCTTCTGTTCCACCCCTCAAAGTAGCTGAACCACAGGTGTGGGCCAACACACCCAGCTGATTTTTTGATTTATTGTAGCGACGAGGTTTCCCTGTGTTGCCCAGGCTGGTCTTGAACCAGTGGGCTCAAGCAATCCTCTGCCTCCACCTTCCAAAGTGCTGGGATTACAGACATGAGCCACCATACTGGGCCTGGATTTTTTTTTTTTAATGTAAAATATAAACCTCAATGAGATACCACTTCACACCCATGAGGATGACTATTATACAAAATTAAAAACAACAAACAAACAAACAAAAAAACCCCAGAAAGTATCAAGTGTTGGTGGGGATAAAATTGGAACTGTCAAAAGACAACATTACAACAAACTTAGTTTAAGGAACTTGATTGGTTTTTATTGTATAGTGTTTGTGATTTTAGAATCAGGCTGCCTCTTATTCTATAAAATAAAACAGAATGAGTGTTCTGATGAGCTGAGCACAGGAGGATGGGTTTTGTTTTGTTGTTTTTTAAGTTGGAGTCTCACTCTGTGGCCAGGCTGGAGTGCAGTGGCACAATCACGACTACTGTAGACTTGATCTGCTGGGCTCAAGTGATCCTTCTGCCTCAGCCTTCCAAGTAGCAGGGACTACAGGCATGTGCTACCATGCCCAGCTAATTTTTTGATTTATTGTTGAGATAAGGTCTTGCCATGTTACCCAGGCTGGTCTCCAACCCCGGGCTCAAGCAATCCTCTGCCTCCACCTCCCAAAGTGCTGGGATCAGAGGCGTAAGCCACCACACCAGGCCATGGGTAGTGTTATAGACAGAAAAAGGTTGAGGAAAGCAGACAGAAAAAAGGAGATTAGTTGTTTCAAAGTTACTTTCTTGTAAAGGTTAAGGCAGAGGGGATTTCTTATCATGACAGCTAAAACTGACTTGTTTGTGGATTTCTTTCTTGATTTCTCTGAAGGGGAGCTAAACAACATAGTTTTGGCTTGGTGATGTGTAACTTTAGCATAAGTGACTCCATTTTGGTTTGGGCTATTGGGCTTAGTGCAGGAGCTCAGTCCAAACCAATAGCTTCCTGTAACTTTTTTTTTTAAATTGGAGTCTCACTTGTCACCCAGGCTGGAGTGCAGTGGCACGCTCATGGTCACCGCATCCTCGACTTGCTGGGCTTAGGCAATCCTTTCGCTTAAGCCTTCCAAGTCGCTGGAACTACAGACGCATGCCACCACGCCCAGCTTATACAATTTTTAAAATTGAGTTGGGATCTTGCTGTTGTCCAGGCTGCATTGCAGTGTCGTGATCAGAACTCACTGCAGCCCTCACTCAACTTCTGGACTCAAGCGAACCTCCTGCCTCAGACCCCCAAAGTGCTGGAATTGCAAGTATGAGCCAACCAGCCCAGCTGGCCTCCCTATAAATTTTATTTAGCAGAACCCTGTGCTTTGCTGGTGAGAATATAAAATGGTGCAGCCACTATGGGAAATAATTTATCAATTCCTCAAAAAACTAAACAATTACCTTATGATCCAGGAATTCTATTTCTGGGTTTATATCCAAAATAATTGAAAGCAGTACCTGTATTTGCACTCATATTCAAAGCAGCACCAATCACAATAGCCAAAAGGTGGAAGCCATCTAAGATTCCATGGAAGGATAATGGATAAACAAGATGCGGTACAGCCATACAATGGAGTATCATTCAGAAGCCTTCAAAATGAGGAAAAGTCTGACATATGCTAGGCAATGAATATTTTGCACTAAGTGAAAGAAACCGCCGGGCGCAGTGTCTCAAGCCTGTAATCCCAGCACTTTGGGAGGTCGAGGCGAGAGGAATGCCTGAGCTCAGGTGGGCACTTGGTGAGACCTCGTCTCTACAATAAATCAAAATATTACCCGGGCATGGTAGCGCGCGTGCCTGTAGTTCCAGCTACTTGGAAGACCGAGGCGGAAGGATCGCCGGAGCCCAGCAGGTCGAGGCTGCGGTGGCCAGGAGCGTGCCACTGCACTTCAGTCTGGGCGACAGAGTGAGACTCCAACTAAAAAAAGAAAAAGAAGTCAGACACCAAAGGACAAACACTGTATGATTCCACTTACATGAGGTCCCCAGGGTAGTCAAATTCATACAGACAGAAAGAGGAATGCTCATTGCCAAGGGCTGGGGCAGGAGGGAGTGGGAAGTCCTGTCTAATGGGTACGGAGTTTCAGTTTGGGAAGATGAAAAAATCCGGAAATGGATGGTGATGATGGTTACAGAACAATGTGATTATACTTAGTACCACAGAACCATATGCAGTACTTACAAATGGCTAAGAGGGTACATTTTATACATCCAGATTGTAATGAAATACAAATAGAATATAAAAGAATCTAGCTCCTTGACCTAGCAGAGCCGCTCACCTACCAACAGAAGTGGTGATTCCACAGACCTGGACCACCTCGTTGGCCTGGCCTCCCCTCCACTCCCCGCGCACACTTCCCGCACACCCCGCACCCAGGTGGCCACCTGGCGGGCCCCCGCAAGGCTCACCGCGCAGACGCAGAGCGGTGGGCTGGAGGGGCGTGGCTTCATTCTGCGCCTGTGCTGAATTCCAGCTGCGAGTGCTGAGGGATAAGATGACGCCCAGGTTGGGCTCCCGGGGCCGCCGGCCGAGGAGACGCCCGCATTGCACACGCGCAGATCGCGGCCCCGCGTCCGGAGACCAGCAGAGCGCTCGCTGCTCGCATCCTGCGCGCCCAGCCGCCGGGCGTGCGGCTCAGCGGTGCCTCCCGCCAGGCGGGAGCTGGCGCGCCCACGTCGAAAGAACGATGCCCCGGGAGATCATCACCTTGCAGCTGGGCCAGTGCGGCAACCAGAGTGAGCAAGCGGCCCCGCCGGTCTTTGGTTCTGTCCCTTCGGGTCCCGCCCACGTGCCCGGCATCCACCAGTCCCTCTACTGCACATGGTGACCCAGACCAAGAGCTGCCCCTTCACCCCTGGGCGGTGACAGCTCACAGATTCCGGCGTCTTGGGGACCGCCCTTTGATTGTGACAGCCTCTGAGCCTACAACTGGGCTCCTCAGGCTGTAAAGCTCTAGCGGACCCGGACATCTCTCCTTCTCCCCCAGTTGGGTTCGAGTTCTGGAAGCAACTGTGCGCCGAGCATGGCATCAGTCCCGAGGGCATCGTGGAGGAGTTCGCCACCGAGGGCACTGACCGCAAGGATGTCTTTTTCTACCAGGTGCTCCCAGCAACTCGACCAGGGCCACCTGTGGCCCAGGGGGCATGGAGGGAAGGGAGTGACCTGGTACTGGGAAACCCGCTGGGCAGAGGGACCAGGCGCTGGTCCGAGGAGGGAGGGCCAGAGGGAGCCAGAGTTGGGAGGACCTAGGACTTGGCCTACCCTGGCTGATCGGACCCCTCCTGGACCCCCCTTGACAGGCAGATGATGAGCACTACATCCCCCGGGCAGTGCTGCTGGACCTGGAGCCTCGGGTGATCCACTCCATCCTCAACTCCCCTTATGCCAAGCTCTACAACCCGGAGAACATCTACCTGTCAGAGCATGGAGGAGGAGCTGGCAACAACTGGGCCAGCGGATTCTCCCAGGTATCTAGGCCACCTGTCCAGAGACCCTTGATGTTCCCACCCATGGGGCAAAGCAGCCTCAAACAGCCTAGGAATTTGTCCAGACCTGATTGAGAATAAATAACAGACAATGGGACACCCTGATAAGAGAGACAGCCAGAGAGAGGTTTATGCAAATGTTGTGCAAATAAAAGTAGTATTTCTTGGGTTGCCTAAGCCCGCGGGTTCGAGACCCACCTGGGCAATTTGGCAAGACCTCGTCTCTACAATAAATCAAAATTAGCCGGGTGTGGTAGCACACGCCTGTAGTTCCAGCTACTCGGAAGGCTGAGGCGGAAGGATCACCGGAGCCCAGCAGGTCCATGCTGCGGTGGCCGGGAGCGGCCACTGCACTCCAGTCTGGGTGAAGCATTTCTGGGTTGAATGCCACAGCTGAGCCTCTTCAGGGTGGCTACAATGTCCCAGGGTAGACAGAGTTTTTGGTGCTGAAAAAGGATGCTTTTGGAACCATCAGACTGACCTTTCCTTTCCATATCTCTATACAGGGTGAGAAAATCCACGAAGACATCTTTGACATCATAGACAGAGAAGCAGATGGAAGTGACAGTCTAGAGGTGAGGTTGGCAGGGAGCCAGTGGGGGTTGGCTGAAGAGTGTTGGGGAAAGGTCAGACGGTGGCCTGAATAGGTGATGTGATGGGGACAGTTCCATTCCAAATCTGTTTATGAAGCATCACATGTGGGATACTGAGGTAATTAAGATACAATCCTTGGGCCAGGTGTAGTGGCACGCACTTTGGAAGGCTTAGGTGGGAAAATCGCTTGAGCCCAGGAGTTTAAGACCAGCCTGGGCAACATAGCAAGAAAAAAAAAATGCAATCTTTGTTCTCATGGAAGTCATAATCTAGAAGGCATCAGCACCTTAGGCATGAGTCATGCAGCTTCTTCAAGGCCTCTGAACCTTCCCAGGGAGCCTCAACCAGGGTGCACAGGAGGAAGCCTTGAGCCATGGGAGTGTTGGCATGGGGAATGAATGAGACAGGCAGAAGCCTCTTTCCCAGGCCCCTGGAGGCTGCCTCTCCATCTCTCCATCTGTGATACTGGGATATATATTTTTTGGTTTTCTTCTGTGGTCCCAGGCTCACAGCTCCTAATGTCCATTGTAATTTCCCAAATGACTAGAGCAGTAAGAGTATCTTTTGTTAAAATATTTGACCTTTGTTTTTGGTTTCTGAAACAGTCCCAGAACCGCCCCAGAGTGATAAAGGTGAAAAAAATCTTTTGTTAATTATAACAAACCCCTTTCTCTTTTTAAAGATTTATTTTATTAACCACTATACTACCAAGGGACAAGCCCTTTCAATTAAACCTGAGCTTACATTAATGAGGTGATTTTTGGAAAGTTCCTACTCCTGGTTGCCAGGGGACCAAGCTGGTGTTCCGAGGGTTGGAATTGAGTCCTCACCCCACCTCTGGGGAGATGAGAGGGGCTGGAGATGGAGTCGATCACCAGTCTTTTGTCAGTGATTTGATCAATCACACCTATGTAATGAAGCCTCCGTAAGAATCCAAAAGGACTGAGTTAGTGGCTTCCAGGAAGGTGAACAAGAGCATATCTACGTGCTGGGAGGGTGGCACAGCCTCAGCTCCACGGGACAGATACTCCTGTGCTCAGGACAGGAGCTCGGGATAGAGCTTGGCCTGTGTGTCTCTTCATCTGCCTGTTTATTTGTGTCCTTTAAAATATCCTTTATTATAAACCAGTAAATGTAAGTAAGTGTCTCTCTGAGTTCTGTGGGCCACGTTAGCAAATTAATCGAACCCAAGGAGGGGGTCTTGGGAATGCTGATTTATAGCCGATTAAAACCACCTGGAACTTGTGATTGGCATCAGAAGTAGGGGACAGTCTTTTGGGACTGAGCCTTCACCCTGTGGGATCTGACAGTATCTCCAGGTACAGACATTTGTTGACTTATGTTGGGTTTATCAGGATGTGGACCCATCATAAGTTGAAAAGCTCTTAAGTGGAAATGCACTAGGTTACATCCCAATAAACCCACCATGAGGTTGAGAAATGGTGTTGAACCATCCTAAGTCAGGGCCAGTCTGTAGATAGGGCAGAACTGAACTGAACTCGTGGATACCCGGCTGGTGTCTGTTGCAGAATTGATTGCTTACTTGATGTGTGGGGTAAAACTACCGCACATCTGGTGTCAGAAGCACATTGTGCGAGTCCAGTGGGAGAAACTGAGTTTGTTTATTCCTGTACACACACAGGGCTTCGTGCTGTGTCACTCCATCGCTGGGGGTACGGGTTCTGGCCTGGGCTCCTACCTCCTGGAGCGACTGAACGACAGGCAAGCCTGTGTTTGGGGAGAGGGCATGAACCCTGCTTCCCTTGGTAATGTCTTTGCTTTTGGTCACTTTTTTCTCTTGAGCTGGAAGGTCTGCCACTACCCCCTTGTGAGTCATAGGGACAGATCCACCCAAGGACCAGCTTGGAAGCTATAACTGAGGGTGGGAAGCTTACCTAGGGAGGGGAGGGGATCTACAGAGTTTGATGTTTGAGGTTTTTTTTTTTCTTTTGGCTCTAAAGACTCAGTTCTGTCCTGACCCTTTTCGTACAAGAGCTTGGTGGCACCTGGAAAGGACTGATCCCTGTTGTCCCTAGAGAAGACAGAGCTGAGCAGTGTCTGGTCCTTCCTATTCACTGTTCAATCCTTTCCTTTTCTCTCAGGTACCCCAAGAAGCTGGTACAGACATACTCAGTGTTTCCCTACCAGGAAGAAATGAGTGACGTGGTAGTCCAGCCCTACAACTCACTCCTTACGCTCAAGAGGCTGACCCAGAATGCAGACTGTGTGGTGAGCAGAGGAAGAGGGCATGGGGGGGCTTCAGTCTGTGTCCCCAGGCCAGTGAGTCACATATACCCTGTCCTTCCCAAGCCTCTACCCACCCAGAGCAGAGAACCAACAAAGCCACACCTGTGGGCCAGACCAGGTGGTAAGACCCTGACCTCTGAGTTCCTTAGTCCTTTTAGGCAGCGAGACTCTCAATGAAGTGAATATGCACCCCCACTATGTACCCCACTTTGCCTGTCTGACTCATGCTTCAATTCTCAAGCTCATTTTTTTTGAGTCAGGTGTCTCGCCCTGTTGCCCAAGCTCGAGTACAGTGGCAGGATCACAGCTCAATGTAGCCTCGGTCTCCTTGGCTCAAGCAATCCTACTGCCTCAGCTTCCTGAGTAGCCGGGACTACAGGCACATGCCACCACACCCAGCTAATTTTTTTTTTTTTTTTTTTGATAGAGATGAGGTCTCATTATGTTACCCAGACTGGTCTCAAACTTCTGAGTTCAAGTGAGTCTCCCGCCTTGGTTTCCCAAAGTGCTGGGGTTATAGGCATAAGCCACTGTGTCTGGTCAAAGGATCACTTTGTTAGCAAAACCTTCCCTGACCGCCCAGTCAAGGTTAGGTTCCTTTGTGCAAATTTCAGGCAGTTGACTAGAGTTTCTTGTTGTTTTTTATTCAATGTCTGTCTCCCTCCATTAGACTGGAGGCCTTATGAGGGGAAAGGCCATGCCTGTTTCCTCTCCCTGGTCCCTCAGAGCTAGGCACAGTGTGTGGCACATGAGGGTACCCTGCATGGTCAAAGAGTGTCTCATGATGCTCCAGAGACAATACTCTTTTTATTTATTACTATTATTTTAACTTGGAGTCTCACTGTCACCCAGATGGAGTGCAGTGGCAGGATCACAGCCCCCACAGCCTTGATCTGCTGGGCTCAGGAGATCCTTCTGCTTCAGCTTTCCAGGTAGCTAGAACTCCAGGTGTGTGACACCACGCCTGCCTAATCTTTTGATTTATTGTAGAGACTAGGTCTCGCCAAGTTGCCCGGGCTGGTCTTGAACTTCTGGGCTCAGGCAGTCCTCTCACCTCAGCCTCCCAAAGTACTGGAATTACAGATGTGAGTCACTGTGCCTGGCCAATGCTTACCTTTGTTTATTTATTTATTTTTTTTTGAGTTGGAGTCTCATTCTGTTGCGCAGGCTGGAGTGCAGTGGCATGCTCACAGTCACCGCAGCCTCAACCTGCTGGGCTCAGGTGATCCTTCTGCCTCAGCCTTCCAAGTAACTGGAATTACAGATACACGCCACCATGCCTGGCTAATTTTTTAATTTATTGTAGAGATGAGGTCTCACCAAGTTGCCTGAGCTGGTGTCAAACCTGTGGGCTCAGGCAATCCTCTCACCTTAGCCTCCCAAAGTGCTGGGATTATAGGCGTGGCCACAGGCCAATGCTACTGCCTGGTTTTGAAGTTTAGCAGGGGCTAAGCCAATATCTTATTTCCATGCCTCAAGCAGGTGCTGTGACCTTCTTCTGTCTCCCAGGTGGTGCTGGACAACACGGCCCTGAACCGCATTGCCACAGACCGCCTGCACATCCAGAACCCATCCTTCTCCCAGATCAACCAGCTGGTGAGCACCCTCTAGGCCCTGTGGACCAGAAGCCATCCTTGCTGAGGGGCATCTGGGGAAGGGAAACTCACCTGGGCCCCATCCCCAGGTGTCCACCATCATGTCGGCCAGTACCACCACCCTTCGCTACCCTGGCTACATGAACAACGACCTCATCGGCCTCATCGCCTCGCTCATTCCCACGCCTCGGCTTCACTTCCTCATGACTGGCTACACGCCCCTCACCACAGACCAGTCGGTAAGAGCAGCCCTCGGCGTCCTGGGCCAGGCTGGCCCCAGACCCAGCAGGCCCTGATCCCACCTTCCTCTCCTCCCTGCTGCCCCAGGAGCTGCCCTGTGCAGCCCCTAGAGGCTATGTGCTCAGGGCAGACCACTTTTTGGCGACTCGCTCTCCCCCTTCCCACTGCCTTTGGCTGCTGCCACAGAGAGCACCTTTCCTGAGTCTGATGGGGGCGTGTGGACTGCTCCTCCCTGTCCCTTCTGCGCTGGACCGTGCCGAGTTCTGGCTTGGTCCTCGTGACCCACTCTCCCTTCAGGTGACCAGTGTGAGGAAGACCACGGTCCTGGATGTCATGAGGCGGCTGCTGCAGCCCAAGAACGTGATGGTGTCCACAGGCCGGGACCGCCAGACCAACCACTGCTACATTGCCATTCTCAACATCATCCAGGGAGAGGTGGACCCCACCCAGGTAGGTGAGGCACCCTCGTTCCACCCCTGCAGGGGCAGAGGGGAAGCTACCTCCACTGCTCTTATGCCCACCCCAGGTCCACAAGAGCCTGCAGAGGATCCGGGAGCGGAAGTTGGCCAACTTCATCCCCTGGGGTCCAGCCAGCATCCAGGTGGCCCTGTCCAGGAAGTCTCCCTACCTGCCCTCAGCCCACCGGGTCAGTGGGCTCATGATGGCCAACCACACCAGCATCTCCTCGGTGAGTCTCGTTTCCTGGCTACTCTGTTCCTCTTTGACTGCTCCTCTTTGGCTGCTCCCTTCCCTTCACCTTCGTCCTTCCCCCATCCATTCCTGACCCTGTCTTACCCTGGCTCCCATACTGGAGATTGCATCTCTTCCAGCTTTTTGAAAGTTCCTGCCAGCAATTCGACAAGCTACGGAAGCGTGATGCCTTCCTGGAGCAGTTCCGCAAGGAGGACATGTTCAAAGACAACTTTGATGAGATGGACAGGTCCAGGGAGGTTGTGCAGGAGCTCATTGATGAGTACCACGCGGCCACACAGCCAGACTACATCTCCTGGGGCACCCAGGAGCAGTGAGATCCGCCCCCCACTGCTCCCCCTGGAGACGAAGCACAGCTTTCACCATGCTGGTCCCTCTGACCCAACTGCACCTCGTGGACAACCTCTCTTGGTTCATCTTCAAGCCTGTGACCTGGTCCTTCTCCCTCTATCCTGTGTCCTAGCCCCTAATATGCTTGCTCAGCTCTAATAAAGCGATAAAGCTTGCCTGTCAACATACAGGGCTTGATCTGTGAATCTAGAGAGGGTGAAGGGCTCTCCAGCTTCCTGGCATGTGACAGCAGGCTGGTCTCTGCCTCCTCTTTTTGCCATTTAGTAGGTCTGTATGTTCACTGTTCCTACTGGCATCCCTAGCCTTGAACCAGACTGTTTTATTGGCATCAACTCTCAAGATTACAGAGGTTCACTGAGATCTGCTGTCTTCTCGGGGCCTGAGACCTGCCCCTGTGTGGGCCAAGGTTACCCCAGCCTCCTCCACTCAGGGCAGAGGAGATGGGGTCTGCTGAAGAAGGGCATACTGCATTTTGAGCTGGTTAGGACATCCAGTGCCCAGGGCCAACAGAGTTCCAGGAGCTCGACCCAATCCAATTCAACGCAATAAGGAACAATTTGGGAGTAGGGCTGAGCCCTTCCTGAGGGCACAGTTGTTCTCTGCCCAAGAAATTCTTGGGTCTGTTATCTGCCCCAAGTTTCTCTCTATTCCAGGCTCAGAGCAGTAGGCACACCACTGATGGCCCAACCAGGACGCAGAGCTGTACTCCAGGGTAAGAACTGGGCAGTGTCAGGCCTGCTGACTCACTGCCCTCTAGCCTCAGGGATGCCAGGAGGCTGCTTGGTGGAGAAGGGAGTGTGAACAATTGCCAGCTTCCACTGCCGCCTTCTTGCCTGCTCCACCCACAGCCTTGTGGCAGTATACTGGGCAGGAGAAGGTTAAATCCAGACGGTCAGGAGAGTAGAGCTCTGCCATGCAGACTACCCCCAGTGCCTGGTAAAGCCCAGAGTGTGGGCGTCCCCAGGGGGCGGAGCTCTGAGCTGTTCAGGGCTCCAACTTGTCCCACTGACAACACTCCCACAGGAAGGGTTTGTGTAAATAGGGATTTTTTTTTTTTTGCCTCTCTGCTACAAATAAATTAAGAAACAAACTAGAAAATTGTCCACACCCATCGCAGCCGTTGGGTGTGGGCTGTACCCTGTCCCCGCAGGGCCAAAAGGGTCCGTGGTTCCCTCCAATCTCAGAGCAGTCCTGGCCCAGGCTGGAGGCAGTGGGGAGGTCGTGACCTCTTGGCAGGCTCAGTCCTGCAGCTGCCCCAAGCAGCCAGATTGTCCCTGGGGCTCGTCCAGGCCCGGGTGCTGGCTGGGAGGGGAGTTGTCTGGCAGGTCTTGGCTCCGAGGACAAGGGCTGCTGCAGGGCCTCTCGGGGGAGGGGTTGGCCAAGTAGGCATTCACCAGCTGCATGATCTCGTCCACCTAAAAGAGGGCAGAGGTCAGCGTGCAACAGGGCCACTGGGTTCTCGTACTTGTCCTCTATTCAGGCTCCAGGCCTCCAGCCTCCCTATCAGGGTCCTACTTTTTTCGGCCCCTGCGTCTTTCCTTCCTCATCACCTTCTCTCCCTCACTCCCTGAGTGCCAGTCATACCTGCTTTTTTCTGCTCCTCTAACAAGCCAAATTTACTTTCACCTCAGGGCCCTTACCTTGCCATTCCCTCTACCTGGAACACTATTCCCACAGACCTTCCTTGGCTAACTTAAAGGTCACCCTCTTTGAGATTCCCTTCCTGACTACCAGTCACTTTCTATCATGTTACTCTCTCTCTTGCAGCATTTATCATTTTTTTTTTAAAGTTAGGGTCTTACTCTGTCACCCAGGCTGGAGTACAGTGGTACCATCGATTTACTGGGCTCATGTGATCTTCCTGTCTCAGCCTCCCAAGTAGCTGGGACTACAGGTATGTGCCACCATGCCCAGCTAATTTTTTGATTTTGTTGAGACTAGGTCCCCTATGCTGCCTAGGCAGGTCTCGAACTCCTGGGCTTAAGTGATCCTCCCGCCTGGGCCTCCCAACGTGTTGGGATTACAGGTGTGAGCCACCAAGCCTCATCTGTATCATCTTAAATAACCCTGGATGCCTTGTTTGTCTGACTCTCCCACTCTCATGTAAGCTCACAGCAGGTCTCACAGCAGGTCCCCAGTGTCCAGAGTTGTGCCTACCCAGGCTTGTTCATAAATGTCTCCTGATATCCCTCCCCTCCTCCTTCCTCAACCCTTCTCCCTACTCACCTGGGGACTCTGCAGAAGGAGCTGGCTCTCCCCCACCCTCAATGCCAGGGTGTGGGGGCCTATCAGCTGGCAGGCGGCCACGTGGCCATAGCTGACACAGTGGATGGGCTCTGGCTCACCCGGCCGGGAGAGGGACATGGCCTTGGCGCCCAGGCCCAGGCATAGCTTCTGTGGAGCGCCCCCGCCAGGCTCCTGCAGAGAGACAGGCTGAGTCAGGGAGGAAGAAGGAGACCCGCGCCTCATTTTTGGCAGAGGGGGATGGCCGTGAGCAGGGAGTTCCTGACCCTGCTGTGAGTCCAGCCTGGGTGTGGAGGGGGCTGAGGCTCTGGGATGTGAGGGCCCGAGGGCTGTGACTCCTGGGGTTCAAGATGGGCAGCTGTTCTGGATATAGGGGATGGAGTGTCCCACGGCGCGGGCCTGTCCCACAGCGCGGGCCTGTGGCTCTGGGGCGAAGGTGTGGGGCTCGGGCCACCAGAGATTCCTTCTCCCTTCTCCCCCTCACCGTGCTCAGCTCCAGAACGTCATACCGAGCAGCGCCGAACCCCGGACACTGCGCCGCCA